ATGATACTTTAATAGATGTTGATTGTGAAAGTCGTGAGTTAATTTGTGTTGGAAACACCTCACAACACACCATCAAAGTCCAATTCACGTTTAAAACTTCAAATGTGAAATATCAAATACGTTCAGAACCACAAGTCATTACAATTCCAAAAGGAAAAGCCGTTGAATTTGAAGTCTTTTTGATGCCATTATGCTCTACTAACATTGACGATGAAATCACATTATTTGCTGTTGATATGAAAAAAGGGGAGAACTTCCAATTCCCATTGAAAATCAGTGCACAAACCAAATTGACAACACGACTGGATTTCGACAAGTTAATTGAAGAGAAGGAGATTGGTCATGGCTCTTTTGGAATTGTATACAAAGGAATATACAGAGGAAATTGTGTGGCTATTAAGAAGATGAAGGAAATTAAAAATGATGATGATGAATTTGAAAAAGAAGTGAATATGTTAGACAAATTTAGAAGTGACTTTATCGTCCATTTCTACGGCGCTGTGTTCATCCCAAATAAAGTGTGTATGGTCACCGAGTTTGGACTCTATGGAAGTTTACAAGATTTGATGAAACACAAAACATCTGAAAAAGTTGAAATGAAGTTTCGGATCAAAATTCTTGTTGATGCGGCAAAAGGAATTATTTATCTTCACGAAAACGGCGTTTTGCACAGAGACATCAAACCGGACAACATTTTAATGTTTTCAATGGACTTTTTTGAAAAGGTGAATGCTAAATTGACTGACTTTGGAAGTGCGAGAAGTGTGAATTTACTTATGACAAATATGACGTTCACAAAAAATGTTGGCACACCAACTTATATGGCACCAGAAATATTAAATAAAGAGAAATACAAGAAAAGTGCAGATGTGTTTTCGTTTGCAATAACCATGTACGAAACATTTGGATGGCGCGAAGCATATCCAGTTAACACATTCAAATTTCCATGGAAAATCGCAGAGTTTGTTATATCCGGTGAAAGACTACCACGTTTGGACAACATGTTAAATTCACATTATACTTTGATATGTGTTTGTTGGAGTAAAAATAAAAATGAGAGACTTTCTATATCCAAAATAGAACAAAGATTAAATTTGGAATTTAACAAGTAATTAATATTAAAAACGAAATTTGGGTTATAGTTTTAAACTTGGGTAAATATTATTTAAAGCTGTTATACACATCGAGTATTTGTTGTGTGTTGGAATTATTTTTTAAAAATTAAACAAATAAATTTACAATAATATGTGTTGTTTGTTTCATTATTGAATATGCATAAAAATGTTTTGTTTTTTTTTGTTATACTGATTTATAATTAATAATAATATAATTATAATATAATTGATTAATAGTTATTATATTATACAATATGGTTTTTATATTATTAATGAATATCTTGTTTTATATTAATACGAAATAAAATTATTTTAATTGAATAAAATTAAAACAAACCA